CTGTGTAGGCTGCCTCTCCTGTCTCATTAGGCTGGTTTCATTTGTCTCTTCAGACTTTCTTCTCTGTGAACAGATTTAGTTGTTGTTAATTTTAACCTCATGTCTCGTCTTTGCCTCATATTGGTTTTTAAATATTTAACAGGAAAACTTTTTTTTTTTTCCCTTTTCTGACTCCTTGAAATGATCTACATCTCTATAGTGACCTCTGTAACTTTCCAGTGTAAAAACTCCTCAAGATTCTCCGTCAGCTGTCTGGAGATGAGTGGTGACCCGTAGCTTTAACAGCTGCTACTTTCATGCAGCGACTGTCCTCCACGTCAGCTGCTTGAATGTTTTTGTTTTTTTTCTCTCTCTCTCTTTGGCACCTCTGCTGGGAATGCCTTGCCTTAATATTGTCTATAAATTCCCAGTTATTTAATGGAAGCATAGTCTGTGAGCCAAAGCCCCATAAGGAGAGCAATATAACTCGGTCCCAAAGCCATCAGGATTATTTGACATGTGCTGCTGCAGCTTGTTTGGAGATCAGTTTAAAGTTCAGTAGTTGGGAGAAATTGTTCTCATTGTTTGAGTTTTAATTATATTAATGCATCATTTAAAAAGTTTTTTTATCCTCCATTAATTTTTATTGGTCTGATGCAATATTCCAATTGTTTTCATTGGCTGCAAGTGGAAAATTATCATAATTAACAGAGATAAAGGCTTTCAAACATCCATCTGTGTGTACTTGATCTATACGTTTCACTTGGTGATAAGTTCCTAATGTAACTTTAAATGTAATATATTGAATGGGTCTGTACTGTTTTTAAACAGATTTATGCTATAGTGGAAAAACTCCAAATTAAACGCTGAATTAATCCCAGCTACAGTAAAAAGTCCTTGTTGCAGAATGTTGTCTCTTCTGCTGTTTTGCTCTCTGTCGACCTCTGAGTGTTGAGCCTGATTAGACAGTGCTGGTAATTTTTAAGAATGATGTTAGCTTCACTAGTTAGCATGTTGTAGGTTAATCATTTCACTGACATAAAAACAATAGTTTGGTACGTATGTTTGTGGTCAAATGATGAAAAGTGCATCTCCTTTAGTAGCCAAGCCATAAATATTTATGTTCTTTGCTTGAATTGTCTCATGAACTGTGGATTCACTATTGTACTGGGAATGTACAATGGTGTGTGTTTTTAATAAGGGGAAAACTACTGCACATATACAGTGTCAAGAATAGAACAAAAACAGGGTAAAAGATTTAATGAGCTGTGCTTCGGCATCCAAGCATCATCCTGCAGAAGTGTTTGTTTGCCCTTAGTCGTGTTCCTCTCTAAATAATCAGTGTTTGCTCTTGGAAGCCAAACACAATTCATTTTAAATGATTATGAAGGAGGCCAAAACATTCTGAATCATTTTATTCTAGTTTCAGTTGCAATTTATTCAACAACGTTGCCTCCACTAAGTAGGAGTCTTCCTGTGGGCTTCTCTGGCTCCTCCTGTCAGCTGTGTCTAAAGCTCGGATTCCTCATGGACAGACGGGGAGAAACAAAACAAACACTTTCACCCCAGCTTTGTAGCCTTAAACGTCAAATTTCTCTCACTAACTTCTGGCTGCTGACGTGCTCTCTGCTGCTCGTTTTGGTTTTGGATCTTGTCAAATTTGTTGTCGCCTCTTTTAAAGACTTGTTACAACTGGAAGACTGCACAGTCTCATCTGCAGCATCCGACAAAAATAATTTTGCCTCCTAAAGTGCTGCCAGTTTGCAGAGACGCTGTTCAAACATTTATACAAGAGCTAGCCCTCTGATGTCTGGGAAATCAGAGACGGCACCCCCTTCTATCTGAGTCCCACTCGGTGTCTGGCACCTGCTGCTGTCTATTTCATGAATATACCTCATCTAAACCTCTTGATTATTATTACGGTTTAAACCCATCATCATGCATATTTTGGTGCAAACCTTACTAGATGCTCTTGCTGCCATTTTGGCTACGTGCTGCGAATTTTCTATAGAATTAAATTAGGCCGTGTTGACTGAATCAGTAAATCATATTAGCACTTCTTGAGTAATGCATACCAATTTATTCATGGAACCAACCAACGGTTTTCCTGCTTGGTGCTTTTTCATGTGGTGCAAATGCTCTTTTCTTATCTGGGTCAGATGAGTTGGTCGGCTACAGCTTCCCTCTCCCTTGAGAAGCAAGACTTCATAACTATTAATTTGGCTGCAACCCATGCAGGTACGACTGCAAAGTGGTGTGGTGGTGTTACGGCTGCAGTCTGTGCCGCATAAGCAAAGACATGTTATGTTTTATCTCCTTTTTATGTGGCTCTGTTTAATGCTGCTTCAGTCTTGCAAGTAAAATGGCTCCATCAGCTTCCCTTAATGGCAGCCAAAGCCTTGCAGCTTGGCGGTAGGTAATGATGGCATTATCATCGATCCCCACAAAGTAAGTTGAGAGCGATCAATGCTTCACTGTGTGTTCTCCATGCAAACTGGAGTCAGATTAGGCTGTCTGCAGCAGAGGGACAACTTTCTGCAGATTAGAGAGCTGCTACTGAAGAGATTGAAATTTGGACTTATCTATGCATGTTGCTCCGTTTCCCAGAAGGCAGCCACAGGCAGCGCTTTAAGGCAGCATGTTTTTGGTTCCAGATTAGGCCTGGCGGCCACATCTGCTAACATCTGTGTGCCATGAGGCCTCTAATTCTGGCAGTCATGCACTAATTAATCAGGCTGTTGTGATGGTTGCAGTTCAGGGACGTCGCTGTGCAGCAAGACGGAGGCCAGTGTTCAAACTGTCATCCGTTCTGTGAATTTGTATTTCATATGCAACCTCCTTAATGCCAGAGATAAATAAGTTGCATCAGCAAACCGTCCTACATTAAGTGCAGCGGTAACTATTCTAAATAATAAAGCATTACTTGACCTGTAGGCTGTTTATCCTAAAATGAATTGTGCATTTGTGTATTTTGTTCTCATTTAAAAGGTTAATGCATTAATTAGCTCATGTATTCCAAACTCGTGAATGGGCGCTCTTTCATAGTCCTCCCAAGGTTGAAGTTATATTTGTTGTTTCATTCTTTTTCTTTCACTGAGTTTTATAATAATTGCTTTTGACGTGTTTCTCCATGACCCGCCAGTACTTTTATGTCTTAACTCTGTGTTGACGGCTAAATGACAACTGCTAAGTCAGCAGTCTTTGACGCAACTGTGGTTAAAACACTTCTGTACTGAACAATCTTTTTTTATGCGGCCTGTGAAATATAAATGTAAGACACACTAAGATCTCCATAGTTTTAAGACATCACTAAATATATGACTTTGTGTGTGATCTATCTACGACTTTCACTTTTTGAAGCTAATGAAATTCAGTAAATAGACTGAGCAGTTTTCTAAAGTGCAAGTGTAGCATTAGCATGTTTACACTGTTGTGATAGGACTTATTGGGCTTGTTTCGACACCCCGAGTTGTGCCAAAGTAGGTCCAAGGAGAAAACGGAAACATGCATTAGTTGTAATCTGAGATGTATGACTTGTGAGCAGCAGGCAGAGGTTTATTTGACTCAGAAATGATGTCTGAAATGAAAAATGTCTGTTCTAAAGACGATTTCGGTCTCTGGCCTGATCTACGACGGCTCAGATGTAGCAGTAGCTCAGAGACGACTCTCTTATCAAAAGGTGATTATGTCAGTGAGGATAAACGCCTCCTACATTCCTCTGGTCTTTGTGTTGCTCTGAACTGCTTTATGTAACTTGCTCGGTGTGTTTTGGGTTTGTAAAGTGCTTGATAAGAACTGTTTGGCTCTTGGCCTATCAGGTGACATCTACAAGGCTTTTGATGTAGCTGTAGCTCGAGGAGCACATCTCTCGCTGCTCTTAGAAACCGACGGAAAACTTGTTATACATATTTTTTGTGTGCTTTTTGTGTGTTCTTTTTTTTTTGTCCCAATACTGAGATATCAGTTTAACACTATTCATCAGATGGCGCGGCTGTTTATCTTCTGTATGCCTGAGCCTTTCCCAGTCCTGAGGCAATCATCGCTCTCTAGCATGGACTCTTATCAAGGGTGCTCGATAATTTGAGTCTGCGTTGAGGTCAGGATGCAGGAGGAGGGCTTTAATGAGATTTGCTGAAGGTGCTTTTGATGTTAATTTCCTGGCTGGGTGTGTGTTACAAATGACGGCTCTCCAGAGTTTGGGCTCTGTGTGACATGGAAAAAAAAGATTAAATTGAAAAGTTAATTGAAAACCAAAGATACCTTGTATTGTTCAGCTCACTGATATTTGTCTTCTGTGGGAGGCAATCATGCACAGGCTGAGCAGCTGAGCCTCTGGCTGGCTTTGCAAAGCTTTGACTATAAATCTCATACATATTGCTTCCCTACTTATTGTCTCTTTCACCTCAACTTGCCTTTTTACTTCACTTCCGACCGCACGTCTCTAACAAAAATCTGGGTTTCACTTTGGAGTATGAAAGAGGCTAATTACATATAAATACCACATTTTGGGTTTTATTTGGTAGAATGTTTGAAAACCTCCTACACTTGTCATTCTACATAGAATTATGTGCTAATTTATACTCCTCACATACAAGTTCAAGTGCAAGGTATATGAATGTTTTTTTACTACTCCTTATACCTTTATTCAAATTACTGAAGTTTTATGAAAAACTGTTAAGTGCAGCTGTTCACTAATTACATCTGCTTTATGCTTTGTTCTTCTTTTTGGATCAAATCACCTAAACTTCCTGTGTTCATTAACAAATTAATCATTTTATGAAAAGACTGCAATAAGTAACAGTTGCCACAGCAAGAGGTCTGCGTTGTTCTGGATACTCCTGCACAGAGAAGAATGTATGAGATGTGTTGTGGTGTGTGAAGCCAGAATTGCTATACATTAGTTGATATAAATTTTAAGATTTGAATGAAACCACCATGACATGATCTGTACTTAAGAGTTTGTTCTTGCCTCAGATGATATATGGCACTTATTGTTTGTTTCCTGCTTTTCTCTGTTTCAGGTTTCTATTTTAAGAAGATTAAAGAGATTTAAAAAGATCAACATCCTTTGGGTTTTCTGATGGGGGATCAGAAAATGAGCACATCTGAGCCGTCACATGATCATCATGTACTCCTGGCTTCATTTATCAAGGGACTATCCCTTTGCATATGCTGAACTGTTTGCTGGCAAACATTCAGAGGAATAGTTAAACCCCTCTCAACAGAAAATGGCATCAACTTTAGTGTGTAACAATACAGAGTACATTTTAGAGTACAGGTGAGGCTGAGCCACAGCCCACATCGCCTACAGGACTCTGTGGAGGAACTCGGCAGCAGATGACCTTTAGAGAAGATTTAATGGTTTAGTTTCTGTCCCACCACCTTGCTGACAAGGTCGACCATGGCTGCTGCTCCTTATAGAAACGGTTCCTTGGTGGGGCGAGGAAAGGACTGACCGGTAAACGATGCAGCGTAACGGTGGCGGAGTGGGTGGCGGAGGCCAGACATGGGTGCTGCGCCGGGTACGTCTCACATGGCTCAGTTTCATGCTCTTCTTCATCTTGGTCTTCTTCCCGCTCATCGCCCATTACTACCTCACCACCATTGATGAAGCCGGCGGGCCCGACAAGCGCATCTTTGGGCCCCGGCCTGGCGGAGAGCTGTGCGAAGCCAAACACGTGCAGGACCTGTGCCGCATCCGTGAGTCTGTCAGCGAGGAGCTGCTGCAGCTGGAAGCCAAGAGGCAGGAACTCAACGGCGAGATCGCCAGGCTCAACCTCCGCATCGAGGCCTGCAAGCGCAGCATCGACAGCGCCAAGCAGGATCTGCTGCAGCTGAAAAACGTCATCAGCCAGACCGAGCATTCCTATAAAGAACTGATGGCCCAGAACCAGCCCAAGCTGTCTTTGCCTGTTCGACTGCTCCCAGACAAAGAGGACCCAGGACTACCTCCACCAAAGTCTCCTCGTTCCTGTCGTCTGCGGTCTTGCTTCGACTATGCACGCTGTCCTCTTACATCTGGGTTTCCTGTTTATGTCTATGACACAAGTTCTTATGCTTGGGGGAATAATCTTGACCCACTGGTGAAGCAGGCTTTTGCGGCATCCGTTAAAAGCAATATTTATGTAACTGATAACCCAAGTATCGCCTGTTTATATTTAGTTCTGGTGGGAGAGATACTAGAGTCCTCCCCTTTGCCGTCTCCTTCAGAATTGGAGAAGCAGCTGAAAGCCCTTCCTTACTGGAGGTCTGATGGACACAATCATGTTCTGGTGCATTTCTCCAGAAAGTCCATGACTCAGAACTTCTTGTACAACGTCAGCACAGGAAGGGCAGCGGTCGCCCAGTCCACCTTCCTGGAGCAGCAGTACCGTGAGGGATTTGACCTAGTTGTGTCCCCGTTGGTCCATGCGCTCTCAGAACCCAACTTTTTGGAGGTTCCGCCACAGGTTCCTGTAAAGAGGAAGTACCTTTTCACTTTCCAGGGTGAGAGGGTGGAGTCTCTAAGGAGCAGTCTCCAGGAGGCGCCCCCTCAATCGTTTGAGGAGGAACTGCAGGGAGATCCGCCCGCCGACTACGATGATCGGATAATTGGCACTTTAAAAGCAGTCCAGGACAGCCACCTGGATCAGGTACTGGTGGAGTTCACATGCAAGAACCCAAAGCCCAGTTTGCCGACAGAATGGGCTCTTTGTGGGGAGAGGGAGGACAGGCTGGAGGTGCTCAAGGCTTCTACATTCGCCCTGGTGATCGCTCCAGGGGACGGACAGCTGGTTGCCTCAGCAGGCTGCGGCATGAGGCTGTTTGAGGCCTTGGAGGTAGGGGCGATTCCTGTTATGTTAGGGGACCACTCTAGACTACCTTACCACCAATTTATCCGCTGGACTGAAGCCACCATTATAGTACCCAAGCCCCGTGTCACAGAGCTCCACTTCCTGCTGCGCAGCCTATCTGACAACGACATGCTCGCCATGAGGCGGCAGGGTCGTTTTCTCTGGGAGACGTACTTCTCAACCTCTGAGAACGTTCTCAACACCATCCTCGCAAGCATACGAACCAGCATCCAGGTTCCTGCCGCTCCAATCAAGGACGAGCCCGCGCATGAGATTCCCCACAAAGCCGGGAAACTGGCGGGAACGGACGCCAACCTGGCCGACAACGGGGACTTGGATCTGGGTCCCGTAGAGACAGAGCCTCCATATGCCTCTCCCTGCTTCCTCCGCAACTTCACATACACGGCAGCAGACACGTACAGATCATGGAACAGGGCCCCGGGGCCCTTCCATCTGTTTCCCCACACTCCTCTGGACCCGGTGTTGCCCTCGGAAGCCAAATTCCTTGGCTCTGGAACCGGTTTCAGGCCCATTGGTGGGGGCTCTGGGGGCTCCGGGAAGGAATTTCAGGCTGCTCTGGGAGGAAATGTCCCCCGAGAGCAGTTCACTGTGGTCATGCTGACATATGAAAGGGAGGAAGTGCTGATGAACTCTCTAGAGAGGCTAAATGGGCTGCCGTACCTTAACAAGGTAGTGGTGGTGTGGAATTCACCAAAGCCTCCTTCAGATGACCTCCTCTGGCCAGACATCGGTCTGCCTATTGTGGTAAGATTCATGTTCCCTGTTTGCTTCCTGGTAAAGATTTGTTAAAGCTCCTTGCTGGTCTGCTTCACAAAATCAGTAGTAAACACCTCAACTATACTTTGCCGCTTATAAAATATTTAATGGTTAGTTTTTTTCAAAAAATTTTTGTGCTATTTTGTTTTTTTTAATCAGGGTATAAACAAAAAAAACTCTATTCCACTTACACATAGCTTTAAGGGCATCACATAAGGCAAGTAATCATCCATTAACCTGTATCAGATTTCTTTATCATTTCTTTTCTAAAATAATACCAGCATTTGAATGGGTTTTAATTGGTATGGTGTCCATTGTGTTTACTATTGGAAGCACATGCAGATTTATTCTTGTGGCACGTGTGATGTCATTGACCCAAATACACACAAAGCAAAATTAGCAACATTAATAAACTGCCTTCTTCTTTGCCAATGTGTCTGAAATGCACAGTATTAAAAATAACAGTTATTGCAGATTTGATCACTGTGAAATTTAATGTTTCTGTATATTGTAGGCAGGTTTTTGCAATGTTTTTCATAAGTTTAAAGCCAATTAATAATTTGGCCTGGTTTAGCAAGACAAGTTACAGATCTCAAGACACCGTGCCCCGTTTTCCTGTGCAGTTATTTTCTTTTGGATGTCTTTTCAAACTGTTCTGGGTGGTGTTATGTAAAATGCTCTCCGTGTTGCCTTATATAAATGCCCTTTTTTGCCAACTCATGCCTGCAGGTTGTCCGCACAGAAAAGAACAGCCTCAACAACCGGTTTCTACCCTGGGACGTCGTGGAAACCGAGGCCGTCCTCTCCATCGATGACGATGCTCATCTTCGGCACGACGAGATCATGTTTGGCTTCAGGTCAGTGGAGCTCTGAATAGTGTTGTTTTCTCTGTTTTCTGCCTACAGGAAAGATTTCAAGCGCTAAGATTTAACAACTGAAACAAGAGCATGTGGAAGAGCCTTTGGAGTGGAAATTTTTCTGTCTCCCTCATCAGTTAGAGAGAAATCTCGACCCACTGTGGTTCACGCCATGGCTTCAGTTCATTGATGTTTTCCAACGTTTGATTCTGCACAAGCCTCCCAAGGTTCCTCCACGGCATTATAATCAGGTTGAAATATTGACTTTGACTGGACCATTTCAGTACCTTGATTCTTCTGCTGTGGTTTTGCTCCTGTGTTTGGGATTTTCTTAAGTTTGAGTTGATTTTAACCTTTCAGACACCAGGCGTCACATTTGATTGTAAAATACGTTTGGACAGAAAGAAGTTGGGGGTCGACTTGACTGTAAGATGGCCAGGTCCTGGTCAGTAGGTCTCAGCTGTGTGTTTTTACTTGTGGTGCACCGATTGCAGTTTTCTGGCTGATCACTGATCTTTGAGTCCAGACCTGCCAATTCTGTTCTCATTCATTTTAAAACATTACTCATTTTCATTACTTTATGATTATTATGTGAGATTTGTTACTTGGAGCCAAATCTATTTCTCAATCAGTTGTAGTTGCAACATTTAAGGGTTTTATCTCTGAGGAAAAAAGAAACATCCCAAAAATTCAAAACAACACTTTGAAGGAAACCACTGAATATGACACAATAAATAAAAAAAGACTGAAGTATGCATGTGTCTGTTGAATAGCTCAAAATGTGAAGTCTGTGTTTAGACCACATAAAAGCTGTTTTTTCCTGCATGGTTCTCGCCCCTGCTCCCGTCTTGTTTGGGGCCGCTGTGGCAGCTTGTCCAGGCAGGCAGAAACCGGCCCTCTGACTGTTTGTCTGTGTACTGGGTCATATGTGATGCATTTTCTCAAACTTCCCCCCAATGATTACTCAGGAATGTTTCCTGACCTCCTCTCCAGGGAGAGAGAAGTCCCCATGCCGTTGAGCGTCTTAGATTTTTAAAGTGGCTGCACATGAATGTATTAGAGAAGTTGATTTGCTTTTTGGACATTCTGTGGATCTCCTTGGATGGGAGGAGTCCAGTTATCTCATCTCATAAACTGAAACACTGAACTCAGATTGAAGTGTGTTTGTTTCTGTTTTACTGATGCCGTGCAGATGTTATGTGTAAGAATACATGCAGAGCCTTGGAAAAGTATTCACACCCCATACATTTCAGCACAAAGTGATGCATAACTGTGTTGCGTTGAAAAGTCTGAGAAATGCGGAGTTCATGTGCAATTATCCATCTTTACTCTGTTACCTCTAAATTCCAGTGCTTCAGATGTTACATATATGACAAATAATCCACTTTGTGTGGGTTTTAATCTTATAAAACCTGTATCTTAGCAAAGCTGGAGGGGAGATGGATGGAGCTAAATTAAAGGTAATGATTGTGGAAGAAACTCTTTGAGGCTGAAAAAGACTTCAGACTAGAACTTCATCTTCCTGAAGAACATCAACCCTGAAAATATAGTCAGCAATAAAGGTTAGAAGGCCATAGATGAGCATAAATCTGGTAAATGTTCACCCATGTCCAGTCTGAGCTTGAGCTCCTTTGTGAAGAGAAATGCATAAAGTTTGGTTTCTGGATATGCAAAGTTAAAATGTCAAAATATTTTGATGTTTTAAATACAGTGAAAAGGTGGTTTGCTGCTTTATTGTCTGAGGCTGAATGAATACAAATGCATGACATACTTTTTGGACTTGAATTTGTAAAATGTTGAAAATAATTGTTTTTCCACCTCACAATTTTGAACATTTTTGTGTTTGTCACATAAAATCACAACTCTTATGCTAAATTTGAAAAAGTCAGGGCACTACAATTCTTCCTTTGCTCCTTTGTCTTTGCAGGGGACCATAACATACATGAAAAGAGGCAAATCTGAGAAAGTTTGAACAACCTGAGTAAAGTTTCAGACTGTGTTGAATGACTCGTGTTGTTTGTTTTCTCCGTTTGGTGGCATCTCTCAGAGTGTGGCGTGAGGCCAGAGATCGCATTGTCGGTTTCCCAGGGAGGTATCATGCGTGGGACGTCAACCATCAGTCCTGGCTCTACAACTCCAACTACTCTTGTGAGCTCTCCATGGTCCTGACGGGAGCCGCTTTCTTCCATAAGGTCAGATAAAAAGAAGTCTTTAAAAAAATAATAACATCATACGCTGTAGAGTTTTATACAGCCATGTTGCTGACAGATTTCCCCTGTGTGTTTTTTGTCCTTGTAGTACTACGCCTACCTGTACTCTTACGTGATGCCCCAGGCCATCAGGGACATGGTGGACGAGTACATAAACTGCGAGGACATCGCCATGAACTTTCTGGTGTCTCACATAACCCGCAAACCACCGATCAAGGTCAGAAACGGCATGCTGCGTCCTCGCTTTTCAAGTTTCTGTTTCTCCCCCTGGGTTAAATGTATTTTTATTTTTCTCTATTTAGACTCTCCATTACTCAAACTGGCATATTCAATATTACCCGCATAAAAACCCCCCAAAAAGTTTAACTCAAAAACAAGCTCACGTCGGTGGGTCATGCTTGCTTTTCCTGTTCTGGGTTTTTATTGGAACGACATTCATCGCTGCACAACATGTTTATGCCTGGGCAAATAATCACAGTAATCAAGCTGCTGGAGCCTTTGGTTTTAAAGTTATGCCTGATTTATCAGGGTGGGGATATTCAGCAGGGAATTAAGGCCGTCTTTGGTGGAGGGAGGGTGTTTTACGACGGCGCTTTACCGAAGAGTAAACCCTTTGAATATTGAATTTGGAGCAAATCTGTCGTTCTTATGGCAGAGGGAATATATTTCCCTCCTTCTACACCCAATAGGACAAATAAGATTGGAAATTAAATTGCTTTTTTTTATTGCACCGCTGGTGAGAAATTGGCAACATTCAAACCTGAATGTTTTGTGAGTTTTTTTTTTTTTTTTTTTTTATAATTGAAATCTTAAATGGGCAGCATGTCTGCAGAGCAGCAGATTTACCACAGTCATTTTTAAACGGCGTGTCCTTATTTTTCAGGCAGCGGTAGACAGAAACAGGCTCCCCACCTCCCCTCTCAGCTGCAGACTAATGTTTTTTGCTTCAATGCATTGTAAGACTTCAGCCGCTTGCTGCTTGATTAGCCAACATTTGTTCCTTCTGTCTGGAAGACGCGCCGTCTCAAGCGGACTTTGCAATTGCTCTAGAGAACCTCCTAGTAGAATGGACTTTTAATGGACCTCTGATGGCTTTGTGTGTTACAGTGTTCTCACAACTGAGGCTGAAACAAAGCTTTAATCCTATTTTTCTTTCTTCATCGACATTGCTGATGCACCTAAATGAAACTTTAAGCAGCATCGACTCTGCAGCAACATTTCAAGAGTTTAGCATCACGTCGATAGCACTTCTAAATGAAATATTTAGTGTTGGATGGTTTGCAGAACAGAACAATGCTTTCCTTAAATGATTAATCTGGTATTAAGGACTGAACAAAGTGATGGCAATAGGATTTGTTATAAACTTAGACAGACTGCTTCACAAACTGCAAAATACAACCAAACTGTCAGTTAAAGCTTTAAACTCCAAATAAAACTTTCTCTCACATTATACCATTAAGAGAACACACATTAAGATGATGTGTGATAATATGTCTCTATAAGTTAGAGACCCAGTGCGTTATTTTCTTTTAAACATTTAACCCGTTAACAAATAAAATATCTTCTTATCATAACTCCACAAACATTTAAAGAAATGCATGCTCTTTTTTCATTTTTGTGGGCACACACCAGTGGGCATCACAAGAGGTTTGACTGATAGACCGGCCTACCAGGTCGTGTTGTGGTTCCATTGACACTTTGCCCTATGTCTGTTAGGAGATGGAACCCAAATAACAAATAAAAATGGGTAGGGCGATAAAGTGGAGGGGCCAATGGTTCCCTGGCCCCTCCTGTTAACTGCTGATGACATCATTGTCAGCAGCAGTTGCCATGCTGCTGACAATGATGTCATCAGCATGACTTCAACTGATGTCTGTGTCATGAGGCCCTTGTGAGGATGACTTTATGATGTCATAGAATCCATGACATAACCAACTGATCAGTTAATTCTCCGATCAGGCGACACAAACCAGTCAACACAAGATTCATTTGGAAGTTTTAGCTGAGCTCAATAAAAATGACTGACGAAAGCCCACAGAGGGAAATGGATGTGAAGCCTGAGGTTTCTTTTTGGACCAAAGTGAAGAAAACTTTTTCCAACAAAGTTCATCCTGGTCAAAGAAGCCCAGATTATAAGAAGAGACACTTTCTCAGTGAACTTCTGTGGAACGTGATTGAAAAGGCTGCAGATAGACCAACTCTGCACCTTGTCAGACAGATCTTTGAGGAACAACACTGCAAAATTTTGGTCTTGCTATTGAGGAAAACTGAAGAATTAAATGTGGAAGTACTTTCGGAGGTGTCAGAAGAGCTTAGTGAAAGAATTTTCCAGAGTATTGCTAGAGATGCGTTCCACTTTGCCAGTGGACTGCATTTAATTGCACTACTCGATTACCCGGAAGGACACGAGGTCATTGTTGAAAAATTCAAACGGCACCTGAAGAATCCTGTTCCCCCAAAGAAAATGTTCAGGTCTACAAAAAGGAAGATCAGAAGGACTTTTTTTCCAAATGAGGACTTGTACTCAGATAAAAACTGCCTGAGTGAAGATTACAGTCAGGAAACCATGGATCCTGAACAATTTTTAAGGGAAGCGAACAAGATGGGTTTTAAACGTGGAACCAAACGCGAAAGGAGAGTTATGGTGCAACAAATTCTTTGGAAATTAATTTACAAATCTAGTAATAGATCTAGCTACGCGGACTACAAAAGGAAGCACACTGAACCAGTCCAGAGAAAACTTGCACCAAAAATCTGGAAGGAAGTAAAAGACATAGATTTTGTCTTTTTTGAGAACATGGAAAAAAAACACTGCCACGATATCATTCAACTTCTCTGTGGCAATGACGATGTAGTGAGGGAATTTCTATTCAAAATGATAAAAAGTGACAACCCTGTAGTTATTTACAAGGTTGTACAGTCCTTTCGCAGAACCCTAGCAAGACCGAGGAAAATCCATTTTCAAGAAAACTTTCTTCAAAAGGCATGGAGGTGCATCAAACAGGCTACCTGTTGTGCAGACGATTCGGATGTAGTAGAGAGGCAAGAACCTACTAAGAGTGGACTAAATGTTGTGCCTAGTCCACGCTTTGATAGGCCTCTAAGCTTCGTCTGCTCAGAGATCAGTACGTATTCGGAGGAGTCAGGGCCGGTCTCCGAGTCGGGACCTGCCTCCGAGTCTGGACAGACCTCTGAGACGGGACCTGCCTCCGAGTCTGGACAGACATCTGAGACAGGACCTGCCTCCGAGTCTGGACAGATATCTGAGACAGGACCTGCCTCCGAGTCTGGACAGACATCTGAGTCAGGACCTATCTCCGAGACAGGACAGATATCTGAGACAGGACCTGCCTCCGAGTCTGGACAGACATCTGAGTCAGGACCTGCCTCCGAGTCTGGACAGACATCTGAGACAGGACCTGCCTCCGAGTCTGGACAGATATCTGAGACAGGACCTGCCTCCG